GTCATGTGGTTTAGGAGGGACTTGCTCATTGTTCAGAGCATCTGATTGGACAAAAATCACTGTAACACCAGATCATGAATATTTTATAATAATATAATATGTATGTTAAATAATTATTGTGTCAAAGGAGTTCTTTAGCAGATGAGCTCATATCGGATAGACATGAACTAAAAGCCATTGTGCTTTTAATAAATCAACTTTGATTCATTTCTTAGACTTGTTTGTCATTATTCAATTCAATTCAATCTTTTTTGTATAGCTCTTTTCACAATACACATCATTTCAAAGCAGCTTTACAGAAGATGCCTGTGTCTACATTACAATTTAGAGTGATCTGTTATCAGAAGTGAATGTGTCCAAGTAATGTTAATTTCACAGATGAACAGTTCAAGGTAATAGAATCATACAGCTAGCTAACATTAATTAATTTAGGCAGAAGCACATTAAAGCGATTATTACAGGTGTGATCATAATGATTACAATATAGATACATTTTGACAGCTGTGCATGTCGATTCAAGTTGGCGTCATCTGGGGTCCTCGCAGGGGTCAGCATCATCTCTTCACAGGCCCTGGGTCATCTGAAGTCTTTCTATTAGGCTGGATCCACGCTGGAGCTGGCGTAATCTTTAGATACCTCGAGATGGGCATCCCTGGGTAGGAACAGAAAGTCAGTGGAAAATAATTAGCGTAGCTGCTGTTCATAACGTTTCAAGCTAAAAATATGTTTGGGATGTTTATCTGCTCTAGCTGGGAAGATCTGTATGAGATTCATTATGTGAATGCTTGGCTGAAGAGATGTGCCTTTAATCTAGATTTAAACAGAGAGCATGTGTTTGAGCTCTGGACATTATCAGGAAGACTATTCCAGAGTTTAGGAGCGAGATGAGAAAATGCTCTCCATCCTTTAGTGGACTCCTATATCCTAGGGCAGGGTTCCTCAATAGGCGGCCCGTGAAATAATTTTTTTTGGCTCGCACTAATTTCAAATAATGTGGCATGAAAATTCAAACGCAGCATCAGAAAGCTACATTAACTTGCATAGTGTCTACACCGGACGCGAGCAGCGCTGCGTGACGCAATAAAATACAAGAACTCGTTATAATCAGTGATGCTGTCTTGAATGCGGCGCGACACGACAAATCCCCGACAGTAAACTGCTGACTGGTTCTATTTATAACGTACTGACACAACGTTCAAATGATTTGCAATGCTTTGTCGCGTCGCGAGTGTGTAGAAAAGAAAAGTGGAAATGGAAAATAGATGATTCAAATGTGAATGGACTGAACAGTTTTGAGTGAGTGAGTGAATACTTGGGCTGGTTCGCAGTGAGTTCACAGTTTTAACGTAAACGTTTGCTTTAATTTATTTTCAAGATCTGAGGTGAAATAAATGAACTTTTCCAGGACATTCTAATTTATTGAGATGTACTTGTACACTTGTTGGTTCGCAGTGAGTTCACAGGTTTAACGTAAACGTTTGCTTTAATTTATTTTCAAGATCTGAGGTAAAATATCTATTGTTGCTTTCACTATGGCTATAAAGATAAAGCAAAATAATATCCAAACTCACATTAGACACTTTTAACATTGAATAAAGCACATAATCATTACCTGAGATTATCACTGTCATATTTTGTATGTATCCTGCTCCGACGTCACAGAAAATAAAACTGTTCCTAAAATATAATCCCGTGTCGCTTATTGTCACGTGTCACTGTCGCAGGTGATTAGGACAAAAACTACAAGGAACAATTTTTTTTTTATCGCGTTGTGTCTGGTTGGGACACACGGTGATACAGTTTGATCCCCCCAAAAAAATCTAAGCATAAAAATATTAGTACTGACAAATCTATTAATTGAATCTACAATTAGGGAAAGTGGAGAAAAGAGATCCAGTCTGGGAATGAGCAGGAACAGTTGATTTGCATGGCAGACATGGAGATCCAGATTTTCAGATGAAGTGGATTAGAGCCCTGCAGGGGTCTCAAATATAGGCCCTAGCCTGTCTTTTTCCCTTTTTCCCCAAAAAAGCTTATACTACTGTTTCAGCTATTAAAATAGTTCAGTTTTGTATGTAATGGAAAAGTGACTATATTTTGTATAGTGTTTTTATAAAGTAAATTTAGAAAAATGTTTGGTGCATTTTTTGTTTGTTAATATGTATTTTTTTTTTAAGTAACGGCCAGCGGTAGACAGTGAGTTGATCATAGCCTATATGTTTTTATCAATTTAGCCTTCTCAAATCATCGCGACTTGCCTACAATAAAATCTATAGATATAAAACAGTTCAAGCATATCACAATGTTAGTTTAATGTTTAACCTAGATAAATGTGCGCTGTTAGACGCATATCCAATCGTTCGTGTGGAAAGCTGAAGCTAAAGCGCGCTCGGCAGCACACGGAGGCGCCAGCGCCATCACTTGCAACAGTGGAAACAACTTAATACACAGTAATTTTTGCTCATAAAGGTAAGAGTAATACATCATTCTAAACTGTAAAGGGTCTAGTTTTATTTGTGTGCACTCACAATACCAAGAAAACCTTGTGCTTTTATAAAATAAAGAAGACAAACGCTTTCTGCTGTCTCGGGCTTGAACAGGAGCGCTTCACAATGATGAACCTAAACGCTGATGATGAACATCACTTCATAGAGTTGCTGTTTTTAAGTAGTAAAAAATTATCATCATATGTTTGCGGTCTGTTGTAACTGAAAAAAAAATGTTCATCCTGATGAATTCTGTGTTTCAGGGGTTTCTGGTGCTGGTTGGGGTGTGAGTTACAGTCCTTCACACATCTGTGCACTAAAGAACTCATCAGTGATAATGAGCTGCACTTATACATACCCTACTGAATATAAGATCAAGAAAGTGTTCTGGACCAAAAACCCTGTAAAGGGTGAAGAGCCTCCAGATCTGTCTGAGGATCCTGAATACAGTCAGAGGCTTCAGTATCTGGGAGACACACAGCAGAACTGCAGCATCAGACTGAGTCATGTGACACAGAAAGATGAACACATGTACT